GAGGGCTTGTGGCTGACGCAGGGGAGGGAGGTGAGAAAGGAGTAGGCGAGGGCCCGAGAGAGGGAGGATGCCCGCTGCTTCCCTCCCCTAGCTGCTGCTGTGGCCGCATTGGGCTGGGCCCACTGTTCATCCCCCCCCGCCATGGCGGGCTGGCTTCTCCCCACCTCAGGCCTGCTCCCCCACTTGCATTGAGCCAAGACCCACTCCCCTCCCCCCCCGGGCATTGGGCCCAGGCCCCCCGTGTTACCTGCAGGGAGCACTCCCCTCCTGTCCACTGTGTTGCCGCTGCCTCCAGGGAATAGGGTGGGAGGGGCCGAGGCCGCCCCCCACTTCAGTCCCCTGTCTCCACCATCATGGCAGTGGGGTGCCTTGTTGGAACACTTCTTCACACACCGATTGGCTGTTTGTCAGCCAATCAGAGAGCGAATAAAGTGTTACAGATGGACAGACAGACAGACAGACTTAGGCTTTCATAATATTAGATATCTGATTCTCAAAATCTATAAAAACTGTAAATCTTTTGCAGTCTTTTTTCCTAAGAACCCTACATCTTTTGCAAAAGACCTACCTCTTTATTGTCTGCTTCTCTATTTTGGCTTCTCTATTAGTAGAGATAAGGTTCACTGATAACAAGATGGTAAGTTGTGTCTCCTCCCTCTCCCAAAGCCTCTTAACACAGTGTTCTCAGCCTTCAACATTGGGGGAAAGACTGAGTTAAAAATATTATCTGCCTCAAAGTATTTTACAATGTAGCTACCCAGTTTTACACATTATAACACTGCTGAATTCAGGAACATATTTTTGTCCTGGTGTTAAGAAACACATTGAAATTACTGACAAACTCCCTGACCTCTGCATGGTAGCTCTCATTTTTCCATCATTACAATTACAGCAAAGAAATTGTATTCTGTAAGAACAAAATATACTGCAAATAGAAGTCACAATGCAACAAACATGTTTAACTGTCTACATGTGCAGTAGGATTTAATTCCAAATAACAGGGTTATTCACTATTTGGAAGATCAGATCAAAGAATCTCCACTTACCAATTTAGCTTCTGACTGCACTGGCTGGGGGGAGGAAGGCCCTGGGATTCCTGGGATACTAGGCACCATGGTGACGGGTCTAACAAGCTGACAAGAAAAGTTGTAAAAAGTGAAAATGACAAAAACTGAGTACGCCAGCATCACACATGGTGTATGATACTAGTGCTTACCAGAGACATAAGAAATTCTATAAAACTGGATTCTACTGCTTAGATATTTAAATTGCACCGCTCCCTTTCATAGCAAATTTAAGTATTTCTAACTTGTCAAGGCCTGTTTAGAACAGTAACTAAAATCTTTATCATTCTAAATTAGTAATAAACCATAAAGTAGTATAATAATTACAAAAATCTGCATCATACAATCAAATGAAGTCTAAAAATCTTCCTGACATTTCTGTAATTATAGTAAAAGAAGAAACCTGTGTTTTCCAAAATAAGTAAGTAAAATGTGTCACGTGTAAGCTTACTGGAACTGCAGCAGGGACATGAACATTAGAATTCGTGATTGAGGCAGGAATAGCAACAGGCATGGTTTGTCCATTAGGAAGATGTAACAACAGAGGAAAAGGCCCTGGTACTGGCCTAAAAAAGAACAAGAGAAATAAATATTTTAAAAGGATACAAATATACAGAAGTTGATGATTATCTCACCTCTTAATACAAAATTTGATATATTATTAATTTTGTTTTAATCCTGTCCAAACTTAACATTTCTTAAACTCCTGATTAGACATCAGTAATAAACATGCAGAAATTTGTGGAAAGATAACAGCGTAAACTCACTTTGTTGTTGAATGAGGGATGTAGGGAAAAATAGTATGTAATTTCTAAATTTTAGGAAGATTTACTATACTTCAGAATTGTAGGAAAATTAATAAAAATGCAGGCTGTGAAGAAGAGAATATCTTTTTCAAAATCTCTAATAACTTGTTTTACAAAGATGTACAACTTACACTATTGGTCTGTTAGAGGATGGAGCCTGGGTAATGACAGTGCTAGAAGTTGGCGAAGGTACTGCCTGCTGAATAATAACACTTGAGTCAGAACTTGCAAGCAGTACATTAGGAACCTGTAATGAGGCTGGACGAACTATCGTTGAAGTAGGCTGTGCTGTCTGCTGCAGTGGCACTTCCTAGGTAAAAGAAAAAATTTACCATTGCAATTACAGATCATCAAGGCAGTCTATATAGTGAATATAATTTAGAGAATTGTATAAGTACCTTTTCACATTATATAAGTTACAAAATGCTGAATTACATGAATTATGGTATTTTAAAAAACCCACCTGTTAATCCCAAAACACTATCACAATTTTATGAAAACCTCTTGTTAATCCTACAGTAATACCACTACTACTACTACTACTACTACTACTAAGGGTCTACTCAATTCATGATTCTTTGTATTTCAGGGAAACATGAAATATGGGGTTGCCCACAAAAATCAACTTACAAAAATAAAAACTCCCAGTGGCAGCCAGCAATCCTTGCTGTTGCTGCGGCCCAGCCTTGCAGGCTGTTCAAGGTTGAGGGGAGAAGGGGGCTGGCTGGCAGGGGGGCACCAAGGGCAGCAGTTGCCTTGCCACAGGCTGCTCTGCCTGGCTTGAGCTACACAGAAGATGCCAGCCACCCTCTCATCCCTCCTTCCCCCATAGGGACATGGACACCTACCTTAATGGATTGTTTTTATTAAGGTAAGGATAAATTAGAATTTCTAAACTTTTGTACAGTTCTACATATAATTTACTTTGTTGTATATCGTGTATGAGTAAATCCAGGAAATATCCATGGAATTTGCTACTTATACCATAAACAATCTGTGAAAATTGTTTAGTTTCTCCGTGATTTAAGTAGACCCCTAATAATAATGCTGTTCCAATTGGGTGTTGGGTATTATGACAACAAGCCCAGAAAATTGTCAATCAACATAATGTTACTGTTTGACTTGTTCTTGGTAAACAGACTTTTTCTGAATGCTCTTTATTAGTTTCATAATTCTCTTTGCTCTAACATGTTTACTTGATAACTAAAACAAAAGCCATATTAACAATAAAAAACAAAAAAACCTATTTATATCACTTCTGTTAAAAATAATTTTCTCATTTAACATAGGCGCTGTAGAATGAAGAATGTCTCATGAGATTCAATAGTTCTTCCATAGTCTTGAAAATACTAGAATATACCCACACTAACTGCTTGACAGAGGGAAAGATTTGAGAATAGAAGATAAATTCTTTGGTAATGAGCAAGAAGTGTTAGGGAACTGAGTTAGGGACCAAGTTAGGGAACTTCTGGAGGGGCTGGATGTGTGCAAATCAGCAGGTCCAGATGCTCTCCACCCCAGGGTTCTGAGGGAATTGGCAGAGGTTATGACAGGGCCCCGGCACAGCTTTATGAGCACTCATGGTGCTCTGGCCAGGTCCCAGAAGACTGGAAGAAAGCCAATGTGGTCCCCATTTTCAAAAAAGGGAGGAGGGAGGACCTGGGCAACTATAGGCCCATTAGTCTTACTTGGATCCTGGGGAAGCTCTTTGAGAAAATTATCCAGGAGCACATCTGTGAAGGACCAGCAGGGTGGAGGATGCTTAGGGGCAACTAGCATGGGTTCATTAGGGGCAGGTCCAGTCAGACCAACCTGATTGCCTTCTATGATCAGGTCACAAAATGACTGGATGCAGGTGTCGCGGTAGATGCAGTCTTTCTGGAATTCAGGAAGGCCTTTGACACTGTCTCCTACCCCATTCTCATTAAAAAGCTAGGCAACTGTGGCATTGATGCCTACACAGTCAGATGGATTGCAAATTGGCTGAGGGGCTGCACCCAGAGAGTGGTGGCAGACAGGTCATATTCGACTTGGACGAATGTGGGCAGTGGAGTCCCCCAGGGTCCTCAGGCCTATACTGTTCAATTTCTTTATTAGCGTTTTGGATGAGGGGGTGAAAAGCTCCCTGTTCAAATTCGCTGATGACACCAAGGTTTGGGGCGAGGTGGGCAAGCTAGAAGGGAGGGACAAGATACAACTGGACATGGACAGGTTACAAGGGTGGGCAAATGTGAATAGGACAGGATCAGTACTAACAAGTGCAGGGTACTGCACTTGGGCAGCAAGAGCCAGCAGCCTACCTACAGGCTGGGGAACTCTGGTCTCGAAAGCACAGTGACAGAAAGAGATCTTGGAGTCATTATTGATTCCAAAATGAACATGGGCCGCCAATGTGAGGATGCAGTCAGTAAGGCTAACCGCACCTTGTCATGCATCCACAGATGCATCACAAGCAGAGCCAAGGAGGTGATCCTCCCTGTCTATGCAATGCTGGTCAGGCCATAGTTGGAGTACTGCGCCCAGTTCTGGGCGCCACATTTCAGGAGGGATTGAGGCCAGCGTCGAGAGGGTCCAGAGGAGGGCCACACACATGATCCAGGGGCAGCAGGGCAGACCCTACAAGGACCTGAACGTGCTCAGCCTTCACAAGAGAAGGCTGAGAGAGGACCTGGTGGCTGTCTATAAACTTACCAGGGGGGACCAGCAGGGAATGGGAGAGACCCTGTTCCCTCGAGCACCTCCCGGAGTAACAAGGAATAACGGCCATAAGTTGTTTGACAGTAGGTTCAGGCTGGACATTAGAAGGCACTACTTCACAGTTAGGGCAGCTAGGATCTGGAACGAACTTCCAAGGGAAGTGGTGCTGGCTCCTACCTTGGGGGTCTTTATGAGGAGGCTTGATAATTACCTAGCTGGGGTCATATGAGCCCAGTACTCTTTCCTGCCCACGGCAGGGGGTTGGACTTGATGATCTACTTAGGTCCCTTCCGACCCTACATCTATGAATCCAAGTAAATAAAACTGACAAAGGTTGTAACTGCCAATCTCAGGATTATGACAATCATTAAAAATATTTTAAATAAACCCATGCCCCCATAAGCTTTGCAAGAGTTGCAGAAACAGTGTTTTCCTTAAACAACATGGGACCCGGTAAACTGTGCTATGACGGTTAAACAGCTAACTCTCCACTAGTGAAGCAACATGGCAGACTGGAAATGATATGGCAATGTTAATTTTTACAAAACATAAAAACCTTTAATTTTACTGAAATATCAAAAAGCACAACAAAAATAATACATATATTAAATGCATATTATATTCCCTGGATCAGGGGACCTGACTACGGTGAGAGAAAGCAAACCAAGATGAATCTAGGATGAAAGCCTCCTAACTGGCTAGGGACAGGCATTCAAAAAGGTGGAGCCTGAATTGGTCCAATCTTTGCACTTTAGTCTAACCTGGCTAGACTGAACCAATTTGCAAGTGAACAGACATTCCCTCTGGACTGAGAACATGCAGGCACATACCTGCAGCTGCTCAGGCCAGGAGCTGGGGGGCACTAAAGTGTGTCCTCTGCTGCAGGTATGCTGGGGGGCACGGCCAGCCTCCGCAGTAGCTTGAAGTGAACTGGTTAGGGAGGGGTTTTAATCCCCCTCCCTGTCCCACCAGCACAGACCTGAGCCAGGGTTTGCCTTGCACTGCTGCAGTGGTGGGGGCATGGCCAGATGCTGACTGGCATACGTACTTGAAGCAGAGGGGGCAGGAAGAGGGGTTATTCCCCACTCTGCCCCCTCGGGACCACAGCCAGGGTCTGCCAGCCCCGACTGCCACTGTTTGCTCCCTGCCCGGGGCAAGCGGCAGGATAAGCACCCTCCTGCCCCCTCCAGACTTTCATAGACATTTGGGCTGGAAGGGACCCCGGAAGATCATCGAGTCCAGCCCCCTCATTGAGTCCAGACGCTGGAGGAAGAGGGGAATAACTTCTCTCCCTACCCTCTCACCTAAGGGGCCCTGCTGGCCAGCCTCTGGCTGTGCCCCTGCTCTGCCACTGGAGCGGTGAGGGGGCAGGACCCTTGATGGAGGCAGCACTCTCTGTCATAGTGTCTGGGGAGCACAAGCCTCTTTCTGGCAGAGGGACCATAAGCTGGTGGTCAGAGCTACGGCAGACTGTGGGGTGAGTGTTGGCACTGGGACTTGGAGCAGTGGCCATAGCCCCACCACCACTCAACCTGCACAGGCAGCAGCAGCTTTCCCCAGCCTGCAGCTCAGCCCCCTCTGCAGAAAAGAGGCTCACACTCCAGGACAGTGACAGGGGCTGCAGCTCTACTAGCAGGGCTGGGGAATGGCCAGAGGCCAGCTGGCAGAGGCCCTCAGGCAAGGGGACCACATCAAGGGCCCTGCATCCTCACCATTCCAGCAGCAGGGCCAGGGTACCGGCAGAGCCCCTTAGGCAAGGGGACAAGGAGGGAGGTTATTCCCCCCTCCCTCCGGTGTCTGTACAGGAAGCACATGGTGGTAACAGTCGGGGAGGGCAGACCCTGGTTGCAGCTCCCCAGGGGAAGAGGGGCTGAATAACTCCCCCTCCTGCCCCCTCTGCCTCAGCAGGCTATGCTGGCCAGCATCTGGTCAGATCCCTACCCCCGCAGCAGGGAGGGGGGGTGGGAAGGGAGCACCAGGCAGACCCCA